GACCTCGGGAGGGGGTCGGGCCTTCGGGCAGCTCCTTCGACCTGCGGCCGGGATGCTTTGGATGGCGTGTCGCTCCCCCGCTTCTGGATCCAGCAGGAGCGACCTCCGGTGCGGGCCCAACGGGGCCCCCCCGATCGCCGAATGCGACGCGGCAGCAGCGGCGTGCACGCCCGGGCTTTAGCCACCCCGCGTCCCCCGTGAAGCCGCGCACCACAGGTCCCTCTTGCCTGGGGTCACGCTTGCGCGTGGCCGCATCCAGGCCTGGTCGGGACGCCTGGCTGGAGAGGGCGGGAGCCCTCGCCAGGCGTGCCAGCGTGCAGCCCAAAAGGGGGGGGGGCGCGGCGAGGTGTCAGGGGAGAGAGGAGGAGGAGGAGGAGGAGGAGGAGGAGGAGGAGGGAGGGAGGAGAGGAGGAGGAGGAGGAATGAGGAGGAGGAGGGGAGAGTAGGAGGAGGAGGGAGGATGAGGAGGAGGAGGGGATGAGGAGGAGGAGGAGGAGGAGGGTAGGAGGAGAGAGGAGAGGAGGAGAAGGAGGAGGAGGGAGGAGGAGGAGGGGGAGGAGGAGAGGGAAGAGGAGGAGGAGGAGGAAGGAGGGGGGAGGGAGTGGAGGAGGGAGAGGAGAGAGGAGGGAGGAGGAGGAGGAGGAGGGAGGGAGGAGGAGGAGGAGGAGGAGGAGGAGGAGGAGGAGGAGGATAAAGCCGAGGCGGCAGGATCTCGGGGCCCAGCGCCAATGCGGCAGATCCGCGCGGGCCTCCGAGATGCTACGCGCAGGGACGTTGGCATGGCGTGTCGCGCCGCCGGCTGTGGCCCACTGCGCTTCGGCGCGACACGCTACAGTCAACGCGCCTAGTAAGGACGCGTGCCTTCATCTAGGGTACCCTTGAGTCCTTGCCTCTGCGGCCCGTCCTTCGCCGCTTTCACTGGCCGCCCCCCGCCCCAAAGATCCAACTTCGGCCTCCAAGGTTCTTGCGTCCTTACCACCCGTCCTTAATACACGTTTTGATTGTATCCACCGTCCCAGTCCCAAGTGTCCACGTCGTCTCGAGCCTTTCCGAGCCTTCCGCCCCGCGGAGCGACGCGCGAGCCGCTCCCAGGGCGCAGTGTGGCGCCAGCGCCGCCGCTGCGACGCGCGATCCAGGAGGTCCTGACCACAGGTCGGGGAAACCGGTTCGTAGCCGTAGGTAGGGCATGTCCTCGTACAGGCGGACTTGGGACGACAAATCAAACATGATCCAAGTATTTATTTTGTTCGCAAGACGAGTCCCCTGACTATGGCTCGACTAGTTTTGAATATTCCTCCTGTGGAGGGACAGGCCCAGCTTACTCGTAGCCGAGGCTCGCCGTGGCCAGCAGAGCCCTGGTGCTCCTTACACTCAGCGCTCCTTCCGGTAGCACCATGACTATGCAATCGTGAGCCCGCTCGAGATCAGCCCCTCCTCTTCCTCCTCCTCTTCTTCTCCTCCTCCTTCTCCTCCTCTTCTCCTCCTCCTCCTCCTCTCCTCCTCCTCCTCCTCCTCCTCCTCCTCCTCCCTCCTCCTCCTCCTCCTCCTCCTCCTCCTCCTCCTCCCTCCCGCTCGAGATTAGCCCCTCCTCCTCCTCCTCCTCCTCTCTCCTCCTCCTGCTTCTCCTCTGCTTCCTGGCCCTGCTCCTCCTGCTCCTCCTGCTCCTCCTGCTTCCTCCTCCTCCTCCTCCTCCTGCTCCTCCTGCTCCTCCTCCTCCCTCCTCCTCCTCCTCCTCCTCCTCCTCCTCCTCCTCCTCCTCCTCCTCCTCCTCCTCCTCCTCCGCCTCCCCCCCAGACCACTCTGAGTGTCCATTCTTCGGCTCCAAGCAAGAGTCGAAGGGGGGAACAAGCGTGACAGCACAAGCATAATCCGTCGGAGCGCCGCGCGAATTTCTGGAATCGGCGCTGGGCCCCCACTGGCCGCCCCTGGCGCGCTTCGCGCGTCTGGGAAGGGGTTCCGGCATCGATCCAAGAAATTCTCGCGGACCTCAAAAAGTTGTTATCTGTGTGGGGTGCGATTTCTCTAATGGATGGCCCTTCGCCAGAGTGGCATTCGGGGGCGCGGCTTCGGGGGGTCGGCAGGGGAGGGGGCGCGAAACCCAAGTGGACAAGTCGCCACTGTAGCATCGCATGCAAGGACCCATCGCTTTTGTCTCCGAGGTCGACGTTTGACAGTTGTGGAGCCCGAAGCGGGCCCATGGAGGCGGAAAGTTACGAAGCCACTCCAGCGATGTTTGGTGCCCTTCTCGGCCCCCTCGAGGAGAAGCTCATCTCGGAGGCCCCCTGAGGTTTCATGATGCTTGGAAAGGATCAGAAACTTCTACAACATCCGCTCGATGTCAAAAAGCCGTCGACCTTTGATCATCGGGCCTCCTGCTCCCCTCCTCCCTCCGATGCGGAGAGCACCTCGGGAGCCTCTGAAGGCCTCTGGGGGCAGATTCCTCTCCTCCTCCTCCTCCTCCTCCTCCTCCTCCTCCTCCTCCTCCTCCTCCATTCCTTCTCCTTATAACCAACTCCTCCCTGTCGCACCCCGAGGCCAGTTTTTTAGGGCGGGCCAGGCGTTTCGCCTGAAATTTCCTCACCTCTTACGACCCTGAAGCTCAAAAATGACAACAGCTTCACAGATGGAGGGCGGGTCGTTTTCAAAATGTGGCTCTCGATTTAGCGCCGCGCACATTCGCTTGAAAAATGTGCAAGAGCTTCACGGATTGAGGGCGGGTGGTTGTTTTCAAAATGTGGTTCTCACCTTATCGCCGCGCGCATTCGTTTTAACAAATTGCAAGAGCTTCACGGATTGAGGGCGGGTGGTTTTCAAAATGTGTTTCTCGCCTTAGCGCCGCGCAAATTCCGTTTTGACAAGTTGCAAGGGTTTCACGGATTGAGGGCGGGTGGTTTTCAAAATGAGGTTCTCGCTTTAGCGCCGCGCAAAGTCGTTTAAAAAGATGAAGTGTGTCACGGATTGAGGGCGGCTCCTTTTCAACATGTGGTTCTCGCCTTAGCGCCGCGCACATTTGTTTTAAACATGTGCAAGAGTTTTACGGATTCCCATGATCAGCGTACCAAAAATCACGTGTTGGAAGACTCAGGATTATGCGGGCGCAGCAGTCATGTTAATCCGTTGTGTTGAAGTCTCAAAAATGGCGGTTTGGTGCGATTCTGGATCGGCAAGACGAAGCAGTCAGGTTGATACGTGGCGCTGAATCCTGAGAACAATGTTTTAGCACGCTGTATGATCTTCAAATCTTTGTCTTCCAACGAGGCAGTTCCCTCAATGAAAATCAGCCGTTGTAGGGGCTTATGAAGCGGGGGAGCTTGGAGGGAGGGTTAGTTCCAACATCGTTGATGACTCTTGGGTTTCCACTGGTCCTCCTTCTCCTCCTCCTCCTCCTCCTCCTCCACCTCCTCCTCCACCTCCTCCTCCTCATCCTCCTCATCCTCCTCCTCCTCCCACTCCTCTCCCCCCGACACCCATAGCAGGTTGTTTCGGAGAGTTGGAGTTGCCATTGATTTCCCCCGTCCGCTGGAGCCGACATTGCAGCTCGCCTCGACTGTGCGAGGCCCGCTTCCAGAACCCAGGCAGGTAGTTGCTCCGGGCGAGTTGCGCGCTTTGCTCTTAGCAGTTTGGATCACCACAGGATCCAGTGCTTTCATTTCAGATTGTGGACCCGTCGTCGCAGGCTCTTATAACAGAAGGTTCGAGGAGCCAGCAGGTGAGGACGCCGACCTGTGGGCGCTTCTAGGCCTTCTCATGAAAAAAGCGAGTGCGCGATTCCATTTCAGTCTTCTTCACAAGCTCGCACCTGTCTGCTCGGGGCATCGTGGAGGGCAAAGCCCCGAGGTGGATGGCAGCAGGTAGTCTCATAGCTGATGAAGTGGCGGGGCAGACGGCGGTCGAGGCCCGCCTGCCAGAAGCAACCCTCCATGCTGTGCTCGTGCGCATGCGCATTCCCATCGCCACTCTGGACCCGATGGCCGCCGAGGATAGGCTGCAGAGTGAGCCTGTGGAAAAGCGTCCCCCCGTCCCCGCCCTGCCCCCGCTCCCTGCTGCTGCCCCTCTCGCCCTTCTGTCTTCGGCCCACAGCGTGGACAGCACCGGGTGTAGATGCACCAGGTGCGGAGGCTCGGCCTCGAAGGCCACGAAGACTTTGTGGCTCAGGACGGCCTGCTTCTCCCCCGAGAATTACAACTGTGCCACTTATAAGAAGCCCCCCCCCCTAGCCAGTTGCACATAGCGGGGGGCTTTGTCCATCAGAGTCATCGTATGCAGTTGCACGGTGATTTGCGACTGTGGCGTTGTATAGGTTGTGGAAGTTTCGGTTCCCAGCAGCTGCTGGCCCTTGGTAGGAAGTGTGTGCATCGACTGACCCACCAGGGCCGAGTATTTGCGTCGAATATCCGAGGGGTTCTGGCCGAAGGTCTTGAGCAAGGCCGAACTGGCCACCCGAGGCAAGGCATCATTCAGGTGTTGTGGTAGATTCATTGATTTAGTCATATGGTCATGCTCAGGCTCCTGCTCCTCCTCCTCCACCTCCTCCTCCTTTTCCTTCTCAGGATCTGCGTTCAGGCTGTGTGTTAAACCTGGGTTGGGCTTCCCCGACCGAGGTCTTGTGGGTTGGGCGCAGGTTGCGAGATCCTGCGAGTTGGGCCGATGTGCATTCGCTCTACAGAGCAGAGCGTGCTCGGGCAACATCAACGCATCCGTCCGCTGTGGCTACCCTCCTCTTCATCATCACCCTCCCCCTTAACCTCCTCCTTCTGCTCCTGTGTCTCCTCCCCTTCTTCCTCCTCCTCCCCCTCCTTAATCCGCAGCCCTAGCACCAGACCCGGCGCAGGTCTGGCGTCCAGGGCCAAGCGTGTCGGAAGGCCTATATCCTCTTAATGTGTTTGTGCCTCCTCCTCCTCCTCCTCCTCCTCCTCCTCCTCCTCCTCCTCTGCGGGGGCAGGCGGGGGGGCGGCGGCTTCTGGAGGAGGCGGCGGCACAGTCGCGATCAAGGGCGGCAGGGACGGGGCCAAGGGCGCACCGCCGAAGTTCCGGAGGGGCACGGGCGGCACCAGGCTCCCAGGCAGGGACGACGTCGACCCGGTGGACGCGGTGATCCCGTTGCAGAAGCTGGGACTCAGGCAGGACCTCAGGAGTCGCGAGCACGAGGAAATGTTGTCCCTGTTCTGCCTGGTCCCCAAGACGAGCAAGACGGCGACCATGGGATTTCAGGCGGGGGGGGGCCTACTACGCGGCGGCGGCAGCGCGAGGGCGAGGGCGCAGGCTCGGAGCTCCTCCTCCTCCTCCTCCTCCTCCTCCTCCTCTCCTCCTCCTCCTCCTCCTCCTCCTCCTCCTCCTCCTCCTCCTCCTCTCCTCTCCTCCTCCTCCTCCTCCCCCTCCTCCCCCCTCCTCCTCCTCCTCCTCCTCCTCCTCGCTCCTCCTCCTCCTCCTCTCTCCTCCCTCCTCCTCCTCCTCCTCCTCCTCCTCCTCCTCCGCCTTACCTGCACGTGGCGGCTGGAGCGTTCGACGGGCTGGTCGAGGACTGCAAGGACGGGCAGCACAAGGAGGTACGGTTGGCCTACCAGCGGGTCTTCCAGATGGAGGTGGCGCCCAAGCTCGTGCAGGAGATCTTCGGCTGCTTCAGGGCGAAGGAGGCGCACCGCGAGGACGGAACCGCGGAGGCAGACGTCCAAGGTGAAGGTGAACCTCAGTATCAATCCGATGGCGGACGTGGCGGACTGCTACCAGGTGAAGACGGGAGACGTGCTAGCGCTCGCCATCTTGAGGAGAGCCATCCTGACGGCCTTCGAGGAGGCGGGCGGAGTCGCGGGAGAGGGACCAGCGCCAAAGGACGAGCTCGCCAGGGTCGTGGAGCGGCAGCTGCACGGACTACAGCAGCAGAAATAGGTCGGACGGGAGGCTGCTTCCAACATAGTGCGGCTGGAGCGGCTGCGAAGTATGGCTGCACGTGGTAGTGAGCATGCACGGCGGATGTTGAGCATAGCAGAGCAGGTGAGAGAACAGCGTATGGGAGGGGCTGCGCCTCCAAGCGGGCAGGGACCGACCCACCGTCGGCAAGAGCATTGGGATCCCCTGTGCCGACGCGGCACCGACCTCGGGGTCCAGTGTTCCAGGCGGCCGCCGCAGGTCCGCCCCGACGGCGTGGGAATGCAGAAGAGCGGGGCCACTCGTATATCACTCGCAGGGAGCATATGAATCGGAGTATGAAGCGAGGTTTTTCTAGCCCGCGGAAGTGCAGCACTGTTGCCCCCCAAAGGCATATCAGATCATCATCATCATCATCATCATCATCATCATCATCATCATCATCATCATCATCATCATCATCATCATCATCAT